GCAAAAAGATGTTTGAGTTTCAAATATTACAGACAATACAGAACCTTTATTTTTCATACAATTTTACATTACAAATTTCACCTTATTGAGCTAATAACTGTCGTTTTCCTGCACTATTTTAGTATTTTTTATCCTCAATTATTTGGTTAAATTTGACTTCATTTGGTCAGAGTTGCAGTACACCATGTAATACATCATCATTTTACATCAGCTACACAGTGATTATGATTTAAGGGGACATAATGAAATAGCATGCTGCTAGATTCGGTTGTCTGTAAATGGTAGCTCCTAAACGTCCGCCTAAAAGGACGCCAAAGATATCCTCGGGAGTTCCGATGCTGAACCTGTAATGATCCTTGCCAAGCGAGAGCAATGTCGCACCTCGTGTATCTTGCGTGTCCAGGAATCATGGCTCGACGATGAATTGAAAAATTTTGCGACCCAAATGGATACCTTCTTCCGCTTCACACAGGATGGATAACTGCACAGAGAGAATTTGAGAAACTGTACAATTACCTACATCAACTCTACGTGGTGTAACAAGCCTGAAGTACTTTTCAATTATTCACGAAAAGGCATTGTTCGCTTGACTGTCGTTTCTCACCCAAACTATTTCCGATTTCCTTTCATCGGCACCACTAATTTGTACATTTCACCCCATTGTAGGTCATCGTACATTGACATTATGATCATTTACTACCGGTTATCGACACATCTCTTGCTGACAGCTTGCACCTGCACCTGCACCCTTTATTCTGTCTAAACCTCAGTAAACTTAATATTGAACCAGAAAGAGGAACCTCTCATCTAGATCACATAATCACAAATGACGCTGGAACATTTTCTACCAAACATTTCTTCTTATGATCCCAACCTGATCCCGGTCAGACCTAAGATTTACTTACACTCACGACATTTTCCTTTAAGTCGACCTAAAAACATCATTTTACTTCAGCAGGATCTTTCCCTGGACAAATTCGCTGTGCTAAGGGAGTCTTTTAAAGAATGTACTGTTTTCTACATGCGATGGAAATGTTTGTGATAACCGACAAAGAGCACTGGATAGCTGTTTCGTCCTGTTCGA